CAGAAGCATCCATCTGAACCGCCTTTTCATTTACAGGAAAACAACAGATCAACGTGTATAAATAAAATCACAATGTGGATCCATTGATGTGATAGCTGTTAATGTTGAACACCTATTCCAAAACTAAGAGCCTTCTTCTGCTGCTGGTGGTTAAGGGTGTCCACATACTTGTGGATATAGTCTATGCAATAGGACCAGTGGTGCAGGAAGTATAAATAAAACAATTATTGCACTTATTTGTATTTTACCGCAACATTTGTGTTTTTAGCTGATGCAATATTAAGTGATGTTTTTTTATATCTGTAGCCAATGACAGTTTAAATCTAAACATGTATGGATATACATTCCCTGATTAAGGCCCATTTCATCTACTTAATGTACTGTGAGTAAACACATGAATGCCCTTGAGTTCCCCTATAACCTGACTTTTGTTTGATAATCATGGTTAATATCAAGATGGGTGTGTATTTGCAGGAAACATCACAACAATAACAACAAAACAAACAAGGAAAGTGGAGCTTGGTGTTAACATGTGTCAAACATGATGACAAAATCACAAGTTACATTAGGTCACGATCGTCCAAAGATATGGGTTTTTCCCATCCTTTTCTTTCCACGTGTATTGAGTTTGCATTACTTATAACCAACCGTGCAATAGTTTTGGTGTTGTCATAAGTTATAATAAAGTATTACTTTGGTTTAATGATGTGAAATATAATGAACTGTAATACTGAGACGTTAGTTCCACCTGGAGTAAATTCACAAGCTCCCTGCCGTATACAAAGTCATTCAAACTGCACCTTTACCAGCTTTGAGAACACTTTAATGATCAATCATTATAATCACAACATATATTATATATTTGCCAATGTGCATAATGAGTAGCAAAGTAAAGTGGTACTTTAAGTAGGCTAGGCTATATTTACAATACCAATGTTTTTATTTTACTTGATAACATTTTAAATGCAGACTATTACTACACTCTGGTACTTCTACTTTTACATAAGTACAATATCTGAGTAGCCTACTTCTCCCACATATGTATCTAGCCATGCTGTGTTGTTCTGTCATTGTTGAGTAACACATGGTTACGGAGGCAGTTGCACAAGCCTGTTTTGATCGCTGTTATGTAGTTGAGCTAACTGAGCTAGCCTCATTGCTGCAGGAGTGTATCTGAGCTGCTGCTGGTTCAATGGTCTTGTCCTCCAGGCTAAGGCTCATTTTGCGTCATTTTGTGAACAGTGGTATGGGAGAGATGTCCTCCAAAGCCCAGATGCCGACCCCAGAATCAGCCCTGTCCGGCCGTACTGCAGGCATAAAAGTCTCAGGTAAGGTAGCCTAGCCTTAGCATGTTAGCTTAATTAGCAAAACAGATGTAACTCTACGGCAATTTAAACGTTATTCTAGCGAAATAAAGCGATATTTTTGCTGGTGTATTTTGTGTTGTGGTAGACGTTTGCGTTGTTGTCTTGGTCACGGCGGGATTTATCCGTTATAGAGACCTTAATAAGTTACTTATTAGCAAAGATGCTCTATAACTTCCTTAACTGTTTCTGTAGAAGCTATCTAGCTGTCAGCACCGGCGTCTACTACTGCGCATGCGCAATCAGTTTATTGAGCACTGTATGAGTATCATTAATACCACAAACACGTGTGTATTTAATACTAATCAATACAACTTGTTATGTTCCTACTGAATTATTGCTCTTTATCTGTACCCATTATCACAGTGCTGAAAGAAGTAGGCTACTCAGAAATGTAATTAAGTAAAGGTAGTTAAGCATAATGTCAACAAGCATACAGGAGTGTTTAATTGGAAATGATTGCACCCCAAAGGAGCCAATGTTTAATACTATGATATATTTTATTTTTTCATTTGTAGGCCTCGTGGGGCTGGCCAACATTGATCATTGTATTGTATAATATTGAACATATTTAAATTGAAAGTTATAACATGTTTACCTTAAGTCCTAATTAATCACATTGACAATCAAAAACTATTTTCTAAGCAGTTATGGAATACTTTTTGCAGAAAAAAACAATCAATCAATTACATAGAAAAACAGAAACATGTAAACATATTGAGACATATTGATCACCATATTACCATTTTCACTTAAAATCTAGAAAGATAATATTGCGTTATTGACAAAAAGGGATATTAAGTATTACACATCAGATTTTCGCAGTTTCACTTCCTAAACGTCAGTATTTGCTTTCAATAATCCAAAACATTGTTCTTCCTCTACCGTAAGTGTCACTCTAACAAGAAAATGGCTTAAACAAAAGTGTGTTGTGAGAGATAGGGATGTTTTTTTATACAAACAGACCGACAGCAGCACCAAGTTGGCAGTTGGGGCAATTGGCACCAACCTGCCCCAACCTGCCCCCTCTCCACTACAAGTGAGGGCGCTGAGGCTTGGCACGAGATGAATAGGTCTGCACTGGCACCGAACAAAAGACACACACACACACACACACACACACACACACACACACACACACACACACACACACACACACACACACACCACACACACACACACACACACACACCACACACACACACACACACACCACCCACCCCCCACCTCTAACGTTTAAAAGATGACATTGGAGAAGATATTGACTCGGTGGTGTATGGGTTCAGTGTTAAAGTGACTGAGAGAAATGGGAACACAGAGTCAAATGTTTGGATTTTTTTGGGTTGATTTGTTGTTTTTTGGGAGTTGGACTGGAGGGGGTTGGACTGGAGGGGGTTGGACTGGAGAAAGGAGGATGTGGGTTAGGAGGGCGGGGGTCCACCGGACGATTTGGATGGATGGACGATGGGAAGGTTCAGACGGAGTGGCAGACATGCTGGAGCGTCGCCAAAGCGTCTCGGGAACGCTGCCACATTTCGAGAGAGACGAAGAGGGAGCAAGGGAGGGAAAGGAGAAGCCATGCCTGCAGTGGAGAGACTTGGCAGGGCTTCCCCTCCTTTGTCTGTCTGGCTCGGGGCTGCAGCGCCAGAGGAAATCAAGAAATGTCCAGGCGTGCTGGTGCTGGAGGAGGAGGAGGTGAATCTGGACTCCGAAAAAGACGAGAGTGAAAAAGTACTTTTCGAACGAGCGAAAAACTCTTCTGAAAGAGCAGTGGAAACAAAAAAAACAAACGAGCGATTTTCTCTTAAGCGGTATTCGCCAATGGAGCCATCAAACCTGACCAGATTTTGGAGACAAACAACAACATCCAATGACCTTAATGGCAAGAAAGTGTTTTTAAAGAAGAGCAGAAGAACGTCCATAAACTGGAAAAATAATGGATGTTAAACCTCAAAAAGTCGAAGAAGGCCAATCCTCCGCCAAGCAAGAGGTTTGTTTTGACAATTTGTTCAATGTCTTTGACCAAAATCTACTTAATCTGGTCAAATGGTTCCGGGGGAAAATGTTTTTATGTCAATTTCAGCAAGAAATCTTAATTTACGCGTCCAAATGTAGAGTATTTTTTGTTGATTTGATCTGTTGTTTGGTTCTGGTAACTGGGCAGGGCCAGAAGCCTTCAACTAAGAACCAAATCATATTGTTCGACCTTTTGTATATCCTTATGCAGTTGACTTTGATGATATTCAATCGGATTGTATGGATTTTAGCACTCGTAAGGATGCAAACGGGACGATAAATTGGTCATGGTTAAAAAACAAAACATTACATTACATGTCACTTGTTAGACGCTTTTATCCAAAGCGACTAACATACATTCGGTACTGTGGACAATCCCCACAGGAGCCATTTGGGGTGAAGTGTCTCAGGGACACAACGACATGCTGACTGCAGTGGGACTCCAACTTGCTATCCCCTGATTCGAAGTCCAGCACACTATCCACTGAGCCACAGCCTCCCTTCATCAAGGTCCCTTTATTGATTGTTCTGGATCTTTGAATCGTGTCAAATGATTTGTATTAGCAAGTTGGCTGAAAAAGTGTTTTGCTGGTCTCACCTTAGGCCACACCCACTTTCACTGATAGGTGTGGTCATAAATGAGCTCTGTTACACCTGTAAACACACCCAACAATGACTTTACAGTTTTTACCTGCACATCACTGCAGAAAGGTGAAACGTCGAACCACTGGAGGTCAAAACTAAATGTTCAGTTACTCTTAAAGGAGTTTTATCTCCATGTTGTGTAAAACGTAGAGATTGAAGGTTGATTTTGGAAACAGCTGTGCAATATAATAATATAATTTAATATTAATCAATATTTGACATCCTGTGAGTTTGATACTATAGTCATGTCAATAAGGGTTGTAATAGTAAGTAATTGGACACATAAGTACTAATAAACGTCATGCACATGTATTAATTACCCAAAAATGCACTTATTATTTTCTCAATTAATCAAGTTGTCTATAAAATGTCAGGAAACAGTGAAAAATGTATAAATATAAGCAGCTGGAATATGCTTTAAAAAAATGTCAAAGAATTTCCCACTTAATTTTCTTTCAACCAATTGTTTAAGCTCTACTTTTATCCACTTTCATATGACTAAACTCTCTGAACCTTAACCTAAATACCATGCAACTCTGACGTTGTTGTTGTTATTGCTTTTTTTGATATACTAGTAGGGCCCGTTTGTGCATTTACAAGCGATGGTTGTATAATAACTGCAGAAAATAATGTAACAATTTCTATGTTTTTGTTGATAAATCAGGCTGATTGGTATCAAAAGTCTCTAATTTAACACCTTTTCACTGGCTAATTATGTCGCATTGAGACGTTTAAAACATCTTATGCTTGTTACTTGTGAGATATAACCTCATGATTAATACCTCTAGTTGGCATTTTACTAAACACTTCACCACAGATGGAAAAAGGGAAAATAAAAGCCTAATGAGGAAGTGAATGTCATCCCCATCGCAGCTGAATGCAGAGGCATCAGACTTCCAGCAGCTGGTCTCTAATTAGCAGGTGTGTTTGTGGGTGAACATCATTTTTTCCGCAGCTTGCTGTGACTCATTTTCAGAGGCAATAATGGACACAAATATCAGGTGTGATACTTTGCGAATAAGATGGTGGTTTCCAGATATCAAGTTGTCTCACCACACAATGCAAGCTAAATGCAGCGCTTTAGTTGAAGTTAAACAAATATTTGTCCAGCTGTTTTGATTCTCTCCTTATTAGCACCTCTAAGTACATGGGCGGTGGTGGAGAAGTCCATAGCGACTTGGCTTGGCAACTGGAAGGTCACCAGTTCAAGTCCCGTCAAGACCAAGTGCTACAGAGGTGTCCCTGAGCAAGGCACCGTGCCCTACACTGCTCCCCGGGCGCCGTTCATAATGGCAGAACACGGCTCCTAACACTAGGATGGGTCGAATGCAGAGAAACAATTTTGGAGAAAAAGAGTACAGTTATGGCCTCGCCATAGTAGTTCTCGTTAGGCCTTGGTAGGCCAGGCTCACTTTATGCTGTGTTTTCCATTACAGTTTAGGAACTGGGGCAGTAACTATAGTAACGCAGTGTAGGCGGAGCCCTGACGTCATCTTCAATGCGAACCACAAAACCAACATCAGCCGTTAGCTGTTAGCCCTCAGAGCTCACAGCTCCTCATATCTGTTCAGAAACTAGACAAAAGTTAAACAAGTACAAACCACAGACTGTCTGTGTCATGGCGAATGCAGTCGCTGGGTTATTTATGTCTGTAGGCCAGGGGTGCCCAACCAGTCGATCGCGATCGACCGGTCGATCGCGGGGAGATTCCCAGTCGATCGCGAGATGTGTCTAAAAATAGAACAACAACATTCTGTTGTATCGTTAATGTCCTGTAACATAATCTTCCTGTGCAGAATAATGTACATGAACGCATCAAAGCTTTGTGATTGGCCGGCGTGACCCCATGTGTCGGGGCGTGGCTGGTGGGCAGTGGGCAGTATTTCGCTGACGTTGTCCGTGTCAACAGGAGTGACAGTCCGCACACACACAAGACCGCAATTATGGCAGAAGCAAAAAAACCCAAATTATATAATTTTCACTCCGAGTGGGAGGATGATTATTTTTGTATCTATTCCAATTCAAAGTCCATCTGTCTCTCATCTGCAATGCGAGCGTTGCTTTATCGAAGAAGGGTAATTTAGGAGCGGCATTTCAAAACAGTGCACAAACGCTAAGAGACGGAATTCCCTCCTCATTCTGCCCTACGCTCCAAAAGGGGAGGGGCCTGAAAGGACAGCTAAATGCACAGCAGTCCATTTTCACCCGGCCCAACAACAAGAGCAAGGCTGCTACCATAGCATCTTATCGTGTCAGTCACGTTCTTGCGAAACACATGAAGTCTTTCAAAGACGGCGAAGTTA